ATCTTGACAGAAAAAAAACAGAAATGTAGAAATTTTTGCAAATTTATTAAAAAAGAAAAACTGAAATATCACATGGTCATAAGTATTCAGACCCTTTGCTGTGACACTCATATTTAACTCACATGCTGTCCATTTCTTCTGATCCTCCTTGAGATGGTTCTACTCCTTCATTGGAGTCCAGCTGTGTTTAATTAAACTGATTGGACTTGATTAGGAAAGGCACACACCTGTCTATATAAGACCTTACAGCTCACAGTGCATGTCAGAGCAAATGAGAATCATGAGGTCGAAGGAACTGCCCAAGGAGCTCAGAGACAGAATTGTGGCAAGGCACAGATCTGGCCAAGGTTACAAAAGAATTTCTGCAGCACTCAAGGTTCCTAAGAGCAGAGTGGCCTCCTGACTATTTCATTCATTTAGATCTAGGATGTGTTGCTTAAGTGTTCCCTTTATTTTTTTGAGCAGTGTATATACGAATTTAAAATTGTGAAAACAGAAATGATCATTTTAATTATATGGGACACTAGAGGGGACAATGGGGAGGACACTAGAGGGGATAATGGGGCGACACTAGAGGGACAATGGGGGACACTAGTGTGGAAAATCAGGGGACACTAGAGGGATTCTGGAGGGGACAGTGGGGGGGGGGGGGGGACAGTGGGGGGACACTAGAAGGTTCACCTTGTGACACATCCGGTTACCGTGACACCAGGAGACTTCCTGGTCTTCAGGGGTCGCTCCTGATTGGTCTGTCTTCCAGATTAGCTGACTGTCAAATAATGTACTTCCTGTTTTTGTTAAAGCAACATTTAAATAAATGTGTAAAATGATTTCATGTGTTTTTATGTTCCGTCTTTAATCTTTAACGTTTAAACTTAATGTTTACTGAACATGTGACTTCTTTGTTTACCTTTTTTAATCCTCCACGGTTCCCTGGTAACCCCTGTTTAACGTCACTGCGCTATGCATTGTGGGTAATTCACTTCTACTTGTTCCTCACAAAGAACGGAACCTTTGACCCTCTTGCTCCTCTGCTGCTGCAAAGGATTGTGGGTCAGAATAAGAACAGGATGTAGAGGAACATCCTGACCCCGCCCCCTCCTAGCCCTCCGTCCAATCAGACAGCTCCACCCTCCCAGTAAAGCGGTGACACAGATGATTGTAAGAAAAGTGTCCATAAAGGTTTATTGAGTCTCTGCTGGATTACAGACCTCATGAAACTTTAAACAATGAAAACGTGAATCATAAATCATCTTTTTATTATTTTACTCTTTTTATTTCTCTTTTTCTCGTCTCCATCTTGAATCAGAAATGGAAGCTTTGGTCACATAAGAGTGAAAAAACATTCGTATACTGTGACTTTAAAAAATAAAACATTCTGAACAATGAATCAAACGGAGCCGCTGGTCTCCATGGCAACAAACAGCAGATCAAAGAAAAACGAGCTACATTAGTGAAGATGAGGATGATGGAGACTAGCGTTCATTAGTTAACTAATACAAAGCTTCTTTATGTAGTGACGTTACGCTTTAATAAGAACCGACAGCTGGACTCTGAACGCGTCACACAGCAGCAGAACAGGAAGTTCACCTACACAATAAAACCAAAATAAGACAGACAAAAGGAGAGACACAGTGAACCTTCCCTGGAAAATATCTCCATGTCTTTGAGTCCTAAAAGTCTTGTTTTCCTGAAGTGAAGAAGAGTCTAGTTAGAAACGTCTTCACTTTTCATCCTCACATTCTAAACATCGACAGGAAACTAGTTCATGTTTACTGGAGCTCATCGACTCCACAGAAAAGAGAAAATAGTTTTCACAGAATTATGAAATCAGTCGTTTACTGTGGGGTAATAACTGTTACTGTGGGGTAATAACTGGTTATATTATGTGATAATTATGAAAACATTTTAAATAGAAACAGGTTGAAAGACTTCTGACTCAGCAGAAGACAAAAACAGTTCATAAGATGTTGAGACAATCAGAGACCAACTGGGACCAGTTCCTGCTGAAGTAGCAGACTGGGATCGTTTTTTCAGGTGGATCGGTCGTGCCAGGGCCGATACCTGATGGATACCTGATCTGCTGGTATTGATCATCTCGGGTCCAATTTAACATGTTTTCTTCTATCATATAAGTTCTCCTTTAAATAAAAGTTATTTATTTTGAAGTTCTTGATGTTTGAACTTTGAGAAATTTTGTTCATTAAAAGAAACTGATAATCAGATACTGTACTGGGACCAGTATCACCACAGTAGAACTGATAGACTGGGACCAGTATCACCACAGTAGAACTGATAGACTGGGAAGGATTTGTTTAATTTGGATAAAAACATGAATTTGTTTTGTCTTTTCTGTGATAATAAAGTTCTATGTGAATGTCACTCAGGAGAGAAAGAGGCTGATCACACTAGTCCTGCTGGACCAATAGAACCGGTACAGGTGCTTCAGGTCTGATAATGGACCAGTAGAACCGGTACAGGTGCTTCAGGTCGGATAATGCTGCTGGAGAGGACTGGGAAGAGAAGAGAAGATGAAGAGGATGGTGTCTGGTTAGTGATGAAGACGACACACTTCATGTCTGTTCTCTCTCCGGTCCACAGTTCTCAATGTCATTCGTCCACCCAGGCTCCGCCCACAGTGGGTGCCCAGTTGATGTGGACGGGGTTGTATAAAAGGGGCGTGTCCGGTCGATGTTGAGCAGCGTCGAACAGTTAAGTGTTACCTTTCAGGACACCCAGACAACTCTGCAGCAGCTGGAGGTTCCCCTGCAGGTGAAAGGGGCGGGGTCAGAGACACAGGTGTAGAGAGACACAAGTGCACAGTTGGACAGAGGGACAGGTGTACAGAGGGACAGGTATACAGGGTGACTGTGCCTAATTGGAGAGCAGGGCCGTCCTTCAATCAGAGGATCGGCGGTTCGATCCCCGGCTCTGGCTCCGCTAGTTGCCAATGTGTCCTTAACCAAGACACTTAACCCCAAAATTTGCTCCCATAACTGTGCCTACGGTGTAGAAATGTGATGGAATCTGAATTGTAAGTCGCTTTGGATAAAGGCATCTGCTAAATGATTGTAATGTAATGTATAATCAATGTCTTTTAACAGATTATGTCATTTGTTACCTTGGCGTGTTTGAGCTCCAGCTCTGCCAGCTCCACCAGGTTCTTCCTGAAAGCTGCCACTCTTCTCGTCTTGAAGTCTATGAGCTCTGCAATCAGAACAGAATCCGGATCAGTACAAGCGCCAAGGACCAGGAGTACAAGCGCCAAGGACCAGGAGTACAAGCGCCAAGGACCAGGAGTACAAGCGCCAAGGACCAGGAGTACAAGCGCCAAGGATCAGGAGTACAAGCGCCAAGGATCAGGAGTACAAGCGCCAAGGATCCGGAGTACAAGCGCCAAGGATCCGGA